CCCTCCATTCGGGCAGCTTCCACAGGATCGCGCTGTAGGCGCCTCCACCCCGCTTGGCACGGGCTAATCCATCAAAACTGACGACATATAGTTCCTCATCTCGTCCGATGGTGGGGATCGGAGCTTGGATCTTGCGTCTTGGCTCCTTCTTGGGCGCGATTGAGATCAACGCCTTATCCACTTCTGATCTAGGAGTGATACTGGCTGCCAGTGCTCACAAGATCTCGTCCTCTCCTTTGACACACTTGGTGATCTCAAGTGTCCGACAACAGAGCCGCCCATTGTCCTAAACGTCCTTGTAAGGCCGTGGATCTGAAGAGCCACGCCAATGTTGAGTGTCGGGTTAACACACGGATCGGACGTCCGACCAACGTATTGTAATTGAGATCCAGGAATCTCAGAAAGGCTAGTACCTCCTTCTCCGCAATGCCGTAATTCAGCTCATTCGACTTCAGAGTACGGCTGGCAAACGTCACAGGATAGTAGATCTGGTCGTATTCTTCCATCAATGCCTCCGAGATGGCCCAATCGCTAGCGTACACTACCACTGTGGCCTTCCGATCTGGGTCAAAGTGTCGTAAGATCGGAGTGGTAGCTGTGGTGAAGTAAAATCCGAGAAATTGCAGACAGGAAATGACCGGATGAAGTGGGACGACAGTTATGCCTGGATCTGCAGTGACTATGATGGATCCAGATCGGAGAAAGTCCGATAGACTCAGATCAACTGATTCTGAGTCGGCTGGAATGATCTAGAAGAACCTAATTTTAGGTGCCAGATCTGGGTATAATTACACCTGATCTTCGTACAAAACCGACGCGTAGATCGCGTAGTCTTCGATAAATCGACTATAATAGTTCAGACTCCCCAGAAATGATTGCATAGCTCTTAGTGATCCTGGAAAGGCTAGATCAGTTAATGCAGACAAAATTTTCGGGTTCGTCTCCAGCCCGCTGTGCGAGACCTTATGGCCAAGGTATTCCACCTTGGGCATCCCCCAGAAACTTTTAACCACGCTGATCGACAGGTTCCATTCGTCACATGCTTCGAGCAACCCCTCGACTCGATCACATAGTTGATCCCAACTATTAGCGGGGATCAGGCTGTCATCGATATATGATCTGCGACCAAGCACCGAAGGCCTACCTGGATCCACCGGTTCCCTGTCCTCAAATACATCCGCAATAATCCCGTGATCCTCGGACTTCGGGATCCGGGTGAACCCATATAACGCGTTATCGATCATACGTTGATAGATTTGGGGTGCATTCTTCAAGCCAAAAGGCATTCGATTCCACTCAAATAGTCCAAAGGGAGTGATAAAAGCCGAGATCAAACGAGCACGATCCGTCATTTTCACTACCTGATCTTCGTCTTCCTCGTCATCTTGCGCCTTCGTCTTCTTCCGCACAGTCTTGGATCTTGGCTTCCCGACCTCGGATCTA